GACAAGGTTTTGACATTATACTTATGTGACACATATTTTTTTTATACGGCCATATTACTGTCAATTCGGTTTGAATGGAAGAAGTATTTTCTACGCTGGGTAGTAGAAAGAAGGTACGTCGCTGAGACGCGTGCCAACATTCCACATTTGACGGACATTTTTCAAGCCAGTCGGTAGGCACTTATAACAGTTTTCCTACATGGTCTGCCCCTCTGATGTTGCACGAATTCAACAACATGGTGACAACTTACCATCAAGCTAGCCGAGGACGAGCTAACTTCATAATATTTTTTAATTTATTCTAAATCTAAATAAATAAAATTCTCAGTGTAACGAATAGCATTTTTTATTGATTTAAATACAAATAGATCACCACTGCCACTCCTCAGTGAAGTCCTGGTCTGCAGGGAAGTGTCTCCTGAAATATTAACATATTAAATTTTAATGGCTTTGCTACAGACTGGAACCGACTAAAACCACACGTACCACCTAAACTAGGAAACCAGGTACGCCCTAGAAAGGATGTTGTTGGGCCACCCTATCGGTATAGACTGTCATACTTGACAACCCCTGATTCCTTGAATTCCTGGAACCGATCACCCGTCTAACTTGGAGCTGCCTCTGATAGGGTGACAACCAACCGCAGCTGTAATCAGCAGAAAAAGGAACTTTTCTAAATACTTTGACCAAAGGTCTACCTACTCTCCTTCCACTTTGCTCTGCGCAAAGCTTTCTGCGACCAATCTTTATCATTTTTTTCTGCTTATGACAAGGATTCATATCTACAAAACGGAAGAAGTACCTAATAATTACATTATGTTTATATATAGGTAGTATTATATTATTATAGTATCACCTTCTATGTGTCGGCGTGGCTGGCGAGGCAGGTGAGGCGGGCACGGAGCGACGCGGCGGAGTGCGCGTGCGTGGCGAGCCGGGCGTACGCCGCGCCACCTCGCCCAGCAGGGATAGGCACGAACGAGACAAACGTTGGCTGAAGTTCTACGAAATTTGTAAACATAAAATTTTGAAAAAGCAAATGACTAATCTATTAGTGTCAAGGCCCATTTGTCCGTTGTGCTGCAATTCTCGGCTATAATGGCTTAGCTATCGTGTCGTATTTGTTTAATTTGTGTTAGTAATTTATCAATGCTTTGCAACATGAATGAAAATTCGTCCTTATAACAACTTGAAAACGTCTGATAGGAGATTCCTTCTATACTCGACAACCATATTTGTGATAGCAAAAATAATTAAGTACCGGAAGGCAAGATCCTTTCATCTCACGAAGGTCGATCTTCCTGAAGAGTTCGCAGAGTAGCAGCTCATGCAGTGTAGGAGTGCGAGGACCGAATATCTGCTCGATGATCTCAACCACCTACGGTAAAGTGTTTTAAACTATTTAAGTTACTAAGTATACTTAAACTTTTAATTCGATTAAGTAAAATGGAACATATATTTTTTGCCACACATAAATGTAGATTATAGTAAAGAAGAAATAAAAATTACTAAGAATTTAAATGATAAGTCTATGTATATATATTAAACAGAATCAAAATTATCTTGTAGCAGTTTACTCACATTAGGATAATTTGGCAACAAATCTGGTAACAACGACAAGTCGATCTCAGTGCCGGCACACATCTCAAACAATACGTGTCCTAGTGACAAGGCTTCCACGTGCTCCAATTGTGCAGCCAGGGCTATGGGACACCTTGGCTGGGCACCAATCAGTGTATTTTCCAGCCCACATATCCTGAACAACATTATTTAGTAAGAAAAAGGTTAAACTATTCGCAGACAGTCCCACGCTGGGCGCCAATATGCACATTTGGCGCCCGAATTGGGACTTATGTTTTACTGACTCACCGCGCAACGCCATTCTGCACGACGACATTGCCTGAATGTAGGTGACGAAAAGGCGGAAATCCTTTCTCCTTAAGGAAGAGCAGTCCTTCCAACATTTGTCGACCAAACCTTGCGACTTGCCATGCAGGGAGCCCAGTACCCATGGCTCCATACTTACGTGCGTAATCATCGTTCCATGTACTCTGCAAAATTTGTAATAGTATGATGATATGACCAATTTGGGATTTCGATCTTTTATATCATTATATCTTGTAAATCGATTTTCTTTACCTTATAAATTAAATCTTTTAAGCTTCCTCTGGCGTTAAAAGGTAAGACGGTAAGAGCATGTCCATTGCACAGTTCTAGATCTAAGACTGGGTATATGTAGGGATGATGGAGAGCCCGGAACAGTTCCATGATTAGAGTCTTTGATCGTTCTCCTTGTTCGATGGGGCATTTTGAAGTTAATGGCATCTGAAATATATCAAGAAATAGATGAAGAAATAAAAATGAACTATTCCATAATAGAGTCTTTCCGTAAGACCAATATTTGTGACCAATATTTGACCAAATGACAAATATTTGTGAATTCATAAGAATTAGTAATTTGGGTATAGAGGTAGGAAATAAATAACACACACTCTTACCAATGTCAGAAGTCGGTCTGTTTTAATAGAGTTATCGTGTATGGCAAACCAGTGCTTGTTCAGTCGAGAACCGATAGACCCTAACGCAGATAACAAGTCGTACCTAAAATAAATGTCTAAAGGTTAAAAAACTAGAAGATTAAATAGTACCATTTATAATTTGAATAATAACTACAAACCAATAGAGTTATAGGCGGGTCAAATGCTCAGAGGGGTAAAACGGGTAGTGGCATCGTATTTCTATGAGGTAACACTTAAAACTAAGAAACTGTTCTATAAAAACCAGAAATTGTTATTGAAGCGAAAGAGGTATGTAAGAATCGTAGTAATTGGCGTTCCTTAGTCTCTGCCTACCCCCATGGGAGACAGGCGTGAAGTTATGTATGTATGTAATAACTACAAACCTGGGTGACTGTGACAAGTATTCTGTGCAAATGGCTAATGCAGCTGAACTCTCCATAGAACGATCACCGGCTCTAAAGTAGCAGAATATAATATATTAGTATTGCAAGTTGCACCTGTCTTATAGTACACTGTACAATTTACCTACAAGGTGGACAGAAGATCAAATAATACTTTCCAACCGGCCGCTCTGGAACTTTCTGCATCGTCATGACGATGATGATGATACAGTCCGAAACGGTACATATATGTTTACGATATTGGCTTAAACTTCATAATCTTATCTGTCACATTATTTAAAGGAAAAGCGGAGACCTTAAGATTGATTAAATATTACCTAGGAGACGCAGGGGGTTCAGACGGTGAAGATTTCCCAGATCCAGTCCCAATCAGCGACTTGTTGAACAATAGCTTAGCCAAAGAGTCGATCTTCTGTGCTACCAGGGGCGCGCGCTCAGAGTTCTCTTCTAAAGCGTGATATTTAATAAAAAAACAAGAAATTAGTTAGCTGTCAATTTTATCATATTATTCAATATATTAGAAAATCAGTAAGGATTTATAACATACATAGTAGACTCATGTACAACTTAGAGGTAACAACAACAATAATAATTTCTAGGACTAGGTAACACAAGAAGAAGTAAATATAAAGTAATACTTGAGCTACAAGCGCACGATGATCCTTCACCTTCGTCTTGTCTCCCAGCGTCTTGCGTTAGCCAAAACGAAAAATAAAATGTTTACTAGGTGCTAAATATCATTTCATATTAAAAGTTAGAGGCGGGTTAAATGCCCAAAGCGCTAAAACGGGTAGTGGCATCGTATTTCTATGAGGTAACACTTAAAACTAAGAAACTGTTCTATGAAAACCAGAAATTGGTTAAGCGATTTATAAAATGGCAAGAGCCCCTTTTAATATTGCGCTTAAACATGAGCATTGTGCCGAGGGATAGTTCGCCATTACAAAAAGACCATCGTACGCCGAAAAGAAGAAGAAGACAGACAGAAGAAAAGCTAGCAAACGCTTGAAGTATTTATATTTGATTTGGATTAGAAAATTGTAGATTAAGCATTTTAAGGAACCATTAAAGGGATGACAAGACTAAAATTATCATACCTTCGCTTTCCTCTCTGTCAGTGGACACTGACCGTATTCTGAACGCGTTCCGCTTATTGGCTGCAGCGATGGACTCAGGGTTCAGTTCTGCAGCAGACTGGGCCCTCCTGCACGCACCACGACGCTTCTTCTTCCTATAACTACTCCGAGGACGTTCCTGATAAAACCGGTCGTGTCCAGTTGTCTCCGGTTCTTTCTGCTCCTTCCCCTCGTTATTGGCTTTCATATGCTGATACAAGTTGAACATCTTGGCTGATTTCCGTAATATGCACTGTCGCAACTTCTCTAATTTATTTTTCATCAATGATTTTATTAATTAAATCTTCAAGAGACCATTACGCACTCACTTTGTCGGAAGCACTTTGATTACACTTGTCTAGATGTTTCGGTCAATAAAAATGTGTATTCGAATTAATTACTTAGGGATATTAATTGTGGATTGCTCATATAAATTGCTGGGAACATGAGCAATGTGTGGAGTAGAGGGCGGTACCGCTGCGACTCCCAGAACTATGTCAATAGTGACTAATTGAAGTCGTACGAGTGCGGCATTAGCCGACAACTGGGCTCACGTCGATATTTATTACTCTGATGCTACTCTTTTACGTGTATCTATGAGTTTCATGTTTAATCCAATACGTATTGAAATGAATAATTAAGTTATAGGGTGAAATTAAAACAATAATGTGAAATAGCACTTTAGCTGTAGACTTGGATAAGGTTTTAATACCGAAATAGATTATTAACAGCCTTAATAAAACCGAAAAAGAAACTAACAGGAATTGATATTATTATGAACCAGGGTTGTTATAATGTGTGTGTTATAATGGCTCTAATACCAGGACAGCCCAGGATAAATTACTTTTTGAAAATTATAATCATCGTTTAACCTTTGAGAGACGTGGGGATAAGGCAAAATCGTCGTGGAAAAATAAACAACAATTTTACAAAATAAAAAGTTTTATTTCAATAATCAACGAGGCTTCGGCTTAGTACTAGGTTTCATGTAACTAACATTGTCATTCTGTATACAAGTAATAAATTCAGTAGCAAATACAAACACGGTACAAAATAAACGAAATTCTGAATTTATTCTCAATCATTCCATCGAGCTTACTACCGAAAATTCTAGGGAGATATTTAGGGCACTCGAAGGTATTGTTAACCATTCGTCCCTGAGCTAAAAAGCCTATAAGTCATTTTCCAAAACATTAATAAATTGACCAGCTCTTTCGTTTATTTGTTTTTTTTTAAGCGAGCACGTGACATTTACAACACGCCATTGTGAATAGGTTTCAACAATAAATATTTCATTTCAAGACGAAACAACAATAAAATATCACTTTTCCGTTACTATCTTCTTTCGATTTCGATGTACTTCAAATAACATTTCTAATAAGTAGAATGTAATCAGTGTGTGTACTGTGAGCCTCATGTAGTATGGAGTGAACCCTCTGTACAGTCCCATCACTCCGGTCTCCTGCCTGAACTTGTGGTACACGTCTCGGTGGGACTCATTGCTCGCTACCTGGTACCTACAATAGATATCCGAGCTTTACTGACTGATTCTATTTATACGTTGCAAAAGTGCCTGTGCGGATTCATTGAATTAATAGTCCGATCAAATTAGACCATAGAATATATGTCAGGCTGTTCTATAAAATGTCAATTCGAACTCTCCAAGTGACCTCGATCGCATACTCGCCTGTCATTGATCGAGATTAATTTCATATGATGGCGGACCGGGTTCGACCTCTAGTTCGAGAGTTCGAATTACCATCTTACAGAATAGCCTAGCCGGATACAATAACTCCCTACAGGCTGAAATTTGGTAAACAATAATGAGTAGGTATAATAAGTTAATAAAAAAAATAACATTACGCCTTTTATACCTTATAGGCAGAGGTGTCCGTTACAGCACTTAATGCCACTGCGTAATGTAACACCACTTTTCACTATTTGTGTTATGAGTACCATGTAATAGTTGGTGAGCCTATTGGCATATACCGGGTACATTTCCAGACTCCGTGCTACTACTGAGAGATTTTTTTAAAATCCAGTAATACTTTGACTTTTACTTCGAACCCGTGACCCCTTGCTCGGCAGTAGCACTTGCTACTACTCGGCCAATGAGGCAGTCAACATTATTAATAACTTTATTATAACTATGCAATACAATTCATTTCGGCTGCGGCCATCCTGAACAGGGACTAGTAGATGGATAGTTTCTAGAAAGAGATCTTATTGTTCACAAATTTGTGCTAAAAGTCAGATAGGATAACAATCCGATAAGACTCCCAAAAAGCAGGCGCAGCTGACGGCTTAGTGTGATTGAGGCAAAGAACAATAAATAAAACACACGCATGTATTCTATATCTAAAAAAAATGAATTATAGGTGTGTCCCTAAGTTGAACCTGTTGACTTTGCAGTTCATAAATAAGTACTAGTAGAAAAAAAAATTTTAATACTTCTTTCGGGAACTTCCTTAAGACCCCAAAGGACCGAATGGCGAATCTACGGTTAAAATAATTGATGTTCCTACCTCGTCTTGAAGGTATCCAGCGGTAATGTCAATATCGCAGTGACTAGACTGGCGAACATCGACGTATAGAGGTGAAGTAGAAAACCATGGGCCCGATTTTTTTCTACCAAATAATTTCTTGCCTGCAAGGGATTTGAAGGATTGTGACTTTACTATATAATACTTTATTTAACAAGGGTTGCTTATTTTATCATCATCACCAACAGCATATAAATGCCCACTGCTGAGCAAAGCCTCTTCTCACACGGAAAAGGTTTGAGCATTAATCACCACGCTTGCTCAATACGAGAAGGCGATTTCAAACTTATAATTAGAAATTATAAGCCCAGGTGTCTTCACGATGTTTTCCTTCACCGTTTGTCAGTGGTATCTGAATAATCTTAGAAAGTACATATAACTCTGAAAAAGTCACATTGGCACTTGTCGTTGGTAGGTTTCGAACCCGCACCCTCAAGCATTAGAAGCGGGTGTCTTAAACCTGCGCACCACCATGACGAGGTATTGAATTTATTTCATAGCTATCGAAATATATCGAAAAATCTAAGTGAACTGACCTTGGCGTATGTTCCAATTTGTGCTACACTGACGACGACTGATCGTGACATTGTGAGGAGGGCGCCGCGCCAGAATGTGTTGAATCCCTCCGTCTTCCATATCCTAGATTAGGAATGAATATTTGTTATTAGAGCATAATCTCGGCTATAGATCAGATCATTTCATTTCCAATAACATTTTTGTCGAGCCAAGAGGTAGGTGGAAATGTATAGTTATTTATATATTTTAGTGTTTTCAAAATGGCCTACACAGTTCCAAATTAAACTCAATAATATACAAGATAAAATAGGAAATGCTGCAACTGAACAGCAAAGTATTTACCATAAAAAGATTATGAAAAGAGGAACTGAATTGAAAGACAATATGCGACATAATAGGGTAATTTCCTAAATATTATTTTAATGTCCGGCTGGTACATTAATTTAAAACACCTTTTCTCACAAAATTAAATACTTTCGACGATATATTAATTTGAAATATCGTGTGACGTCACAGCGTGCCACATTTTGTAGCACGTTATGACGTAACGGCCTCCACTCTTAAACTTAGCGCCATTTCATCTAAGTATTGCAACTTAATACGAAAAAAAAATACGTGTATAATATTTTTCATTATGTAACTGACGGACTAATTAGATTTTTAATTTTGATGCCCTGGAAACTACCTAATTCTGAACTGGACTGGACAACACGTAGTCGTAGGTTGTTGACTACGACTACATGTTACGATAGTGGCGCAGCATCGTTGGCAATCTACTTTTATCTACATAGTGGATTCCAACTGGATCGTTCGAAAATTATTGTTATGGCATTAAATTCTAAAATAGGTCGTTTTCACACTATTCCTTTGTCAAATTATACATATTTTTATATTGTAGAATGTACATTCTATGCTTACTTGACAAAAGCATCCACAGGTCCCTTGTACCGTCTGAAGGGATCTACCGGGCCGTCTGCCATCATGCGGACGAGGACTATCTCTGAGGGACAGCCCACGAACGCACCCATTACTCCAGCATACGAACCTATAGCCAGCTTCTCCGGAAAACTCGGGGCACGGTTGTACTTTCTGTTCAAACAAATATGACATAGCTAGTCGTCAATATGGATTTAAACAATAAAATAATATTGAGAGGCGACGGCAGCACACTAATATAAAATTTATCAAAATGAATCCTTGTTACCAAACATGTACTAAAAACGCGTCCACCGTTTATAATATCCAGAGTTTTGACAGGCCGACGGATAAATAAATATCTAGTAGAGTGGAACTATCTATTATAATGTATTTTCCTATAAATGACCTTAGGGCTTATGATAAAGTTCCAATTACACTGACCTCTTTTGATGTTCATACATGAAGTAATAGGACCCGAGTCTGGTAGCAGTGTATGTAGTTTGGCGAAGTATACTGGCCGTCAAGCCTGTGAATGGAGCACGGATACCCTCGCACCGCAACATGTTGCGCAACAAACTCATGCCCCACGCCTCCGGGTACATCTGCAGACGTACTTTGAACACGTCCAGAGGGTGCAACAACGCTGACGCTATAATACTGGAAAGAACACCAAAGCTGGAATAGCAATACTGACTGAAAAGAATTGATATAAACCCAGAGACTTTTTTTAAATCTTCAGAATGACTTCTCCCGCCTGGGTGAGGCGGGAGGGAGTGTCAGACTCTTACTGACTAAAAACCACCTCGTTCCTACTCCTACATTTCGAGCCGGAGCCCCGGTAACCCGTTAGGAACTCAGGGACTAGGGTATCATTTAGATATGTTGAGAACTGTCTGAACTTTTGAAAACGATGATACCTATATACAATTCTAAAAGACTAAAATAAACTGATGTGTAATGTATGTACAAACAATAAAGCCACACTCGTTAGGTTAATAACAATGGAATGGGCACACATTGTAACGACAAGCGACCTCAGGACAACTCCTCTGTGACCAGTAGCATGCGTATGGAAATGTGATGTCATCTCGCAATGCAACAAAGCTAGACGCACCCAGAGAAGCTGCCAATCCCCACTTTAATATGCTGAGGCACTTTCCTGTCGCGGTGGCGATGATGGTGTCCTCCATGCTTGTGAGTCATTGTCACTTTACTTTATATATCCACATTTAATTTAATTTTGTTTAATTTTATGCATGAAAACTAACATTTTGAAACATGATAGATGGTAATGACAGACAATTTTTACACTTCTGTCAGATGAAGAAAGAAGGTCATAACAAGTTGTTAAGCTCTTTGATAAGAGCATCTTCAAAAAAGGTTTCTCGCTAGCCAACGATTTTCATAATGCGCCCATTAATGGATCTAGACAAGGACGTTGAAATTAAGAATCTTTAACTCCTAAGAATCTTCAGGTTTAGTCCTGGAGATCCTTAGTTAAATTTAAGTTCCAACATATTATCTAATTCGTTGCATATTATGTGATTACGTGCGACCCTAAAACATTAATGTTATGATACCTAGTATTAAATTCATCTTAGACTATGTTGCTTTCCGTCTGCGGTTTTGTTCGCGTATCGTTACGGAAGCAAATACTAAACTGGGTTGTAAAACCTAGTTAATTTTTAAGACACAGTAAACAAACGAGGAAAACATGGAAAATAGCATAGGTACTTACGCTGCCGTAAGGGTAATATTAGATGGCCAATTCACCGAGGGCAGGGTCAACGTGGGCAGGCTTAATGTGGGCAGGTTCAACGTGATACCGTTCATAGCAGCGTAGAATTGGGAATTGATGTCTTTGATAAAATTTGCTATCATTTTTCGCTCTCGTATTCTCTGCCTCTCATGCAAGTAATTCAGTGCCTGCAAGAGTTTTGTCTTTAGTATATGATGAGGATGAGGCTTAATTTTCTATTTTCAACCCCGAGAATTAAAAGGCTGTGGTATTTGATAGTAGAACTTTAACTACTTAAACTAATCAGAAATAGAGGTGACAGGAAGAATACTCATGAGGGTTAAAATCCGACTTCGTTTGAATTTTTGTAGTGATTCTTATGGAAGATTTATATGTATAAAATACATGCATATTGCACCCGTGCGATGCCGGGGCGAGTCGCTAGTTTGTAATAAATTGTTTATAGGTAGACTTACCGCACTCGAGTTTCCGAGCCGAATAGCCTGTATGACAATAGGGCGTCCAGTTAGCAGGTACGTCTTGTGGAACAGAGGTATGAGCCCTTTACAGTTACAGTTCCTTAGAAAAATAATGCTCGTTATTACACTTACACAGTTTCATCATCAACCAACCATTAGTGCCCACTGCTGAGGAGTCACACGGATAGCATTTATCCCCACGCTGATTTCAAACCTGATAGTCAAAATACGTCAAGGTTTCCTCACGATCTTTTCCTTCAACCTATGTTAGTGAGATCTAAATAATCTTAGAAATTACATTTACCTCAAACCCCTACTTGCACGAGCAGCGAGCGTCTTGAGCCTTCGTGTCACCACAACAGTAAAAGAAAGCTTAAGTTTAAGAGAATAATTAAAAGAAATAATTAAATAACAAATCTAGGTGAGATAAAATATTTTGTTTGTAATTTCCAAATCTCCCAATCCCCACTCTAGCTCCCCAAACTGGCAACGTGTTGTACCTAATTTTACGTGTTTTCGGTAGCTTCGTCATGGTTTAGTATTGTTAAATTTTAATCATCTTAACTTCTAGCTTTATTTTGGCCTTACGAGGTTAGATGAACCCAGAACATCGTACGTCGCGGGGAGCCAATGGATGCAAGTGGCGAATTGTTGTGCGACGAGGAGGACTAAGGGGGAGACCTTGGGTCAGCAGTGGACGTCTACAGGCTGATGATGATGATGATAATAAATATACAGTTTCTTCATAAGTAATACATGTTGGAAAGAGATTACTCGAGTCTAACACTCATACTAATGAAGTACAGCTTGGCAAAAAAGAGGTCGGAATAATTAAGTTCAAGTTAAAGAGGTATTATTTTCCGGATACTCATGAGTCATGAGATATGGTCTGAAGTGGCGAGTGGGTGATTAAGTTCAAATCAATACTAATTCTAATTGTCACCGCGTCAAACTCTTTTTTGCCAAACTGTACGTGTATTTGTCTTATTTAAATAATACAGATATACTTTTTGTGGCGATCGAAAAGACAATAGAAGACCCCCCATCGCAGAGATCGATATACTCTCGTCCGGAACTTAGTTGCCGTCATCATTTCAAAGGGTCCAGACCGATCCTTGCTCTTTACCATCAGCCTGAACATCTCTGCGCACCATGTGTCAGGATACCGATACCTCAGTTGGATCACGTCGAGAGGAATGAGAAGCGTAGTTGATATTATACTGAAATTATATGATGATGCAAAAATAGTATTAGGTGCTTTAATTTGAGACCATACTATATAATATTGGTGTTGTATGCATTCTTGCTTGCCCAATTTGTTATAGGGCAAACATGTTGTAGAAATTGTAGTAAAATGTTGTAGTAAAGTAAGGCAGTAGACCACGACATGCTTGGACCACAAGTAGATCATATATTTATTTATAAGCTAATGTGATTTTGAAGACACTGGGGATATTGTCTCCAGATTTCTAGATAGACAGAACGTTTCCAATAAATTAAATAAGTGTACATATATTATGAGACATTTTATTTTATAAATATATAAGTATATTAACTAAAAATCGCGGGTTACTCACGTGAATATACTGAGAAAAGCTCTACTAGTTTCGAACCACAGAGGGGTTCTTCCTTATGAGCAGCGTGTGCGGTCGCTACAGAGTCGGTTGCGAGAGTAGGCTGCGCGACATCGCCGCGTATAGTATATAGTAGCTTTTCTCAGTATATTCACGTGAGTAACCCGCGTATTTAAAGTTAATTTAGTACCTATGTACCACGATATTATAAAAACATATAAGTAAGTATATATATACTGTTCTACACCAGTACTTAAGTATTTAAATATATGCTCACCGTGATAAACTTCCAAGTATCACCTGCTGGTGGATTGGCATACTCTTATTCGCGTTCATCCTTCCAATTTCATCCATTTTCAAATCAAATTGATATTCAGTCTTGTTACTTATAAATTTGGAACTATATTGTTTGTCGTACCACAGTCATCATCAGTACAAATCACATTGTTATTATATATTAAATTTTTGTTCAAAAAAACTTTATTGAAGATTTTTACTTACTTTTTACTTTAGTGTCATTGGTTTTTATTTGATTGACGTTTTTCAGAATATCGTCATGAAACCTAGCTACGTAGTTGACATTTTTATGAAACTATTCTAAATAGTTTGGTGGAGTATCGATCCTTCTTTCATTAAATTCAAATGTGGGAGAGCCGTGCTTCGGCACGAATGGGCCGGCTCGACCGTTGTGATACCACGGCCTCACAGAAAACCGACGTGAAGCAACGCTTGCGTTGTGTTTCGTCGTGTGAGTGAGGTTACCGGAGGCCCAATTACCCTCCCCTTCCCCAATCTCTCCAATTCCTGAATCCCCAACGATCCTCAAACTCTTAGGGTGCAATGCCGCGATTCACCAATCACTCGATTGGTGAATCGCGGCACAGCTCTTCTCCGCTCCGTCTCAATGGAACTGCACCCTTAATCCCCAAAAGGCCTGTAACGCGTTTGTAACGCCTCTGGTGTTCCAGGTGTCCATGGGCGACGCCGATTGCTTACCATCAGGTGATCGGTCTGCACGTTTACCGGTTATGCCATAAAAAAATTACGAAGGATTCCTTCTTTTCCATTTATATTTAGGTCAGTATGTGTTGTGCTGTTATACCGAACTACATGACCGATTTTGATGTAGGTATGTGAATTTTAAATATTTTGTTTGCTCCTCGGAACTTCCGAGTGTCTATGCGCGGCGCTGGGGGCTTACTCTTGAATCCAATTCCGATCGATCGACATTGACATATTTAGTGAATTTCGTACTCTTAAGTTGCAACACTAGCGCCTATTGCATCTGTATTGCGTGGATATTTCATGAACTAATTGGTATTGAGTTTGGTTTTATATTCCGTACTCTGAATGCTACTTTAACAGCTACGATAGGGGTTGTATAGTTTTGACATTGGATAATTATTGAGATTTTATTGGATTGAAATTGCATTGACATCGAGATTGGTTTCAAGAGTAAGCACCCTGATTGCATACCATCAGGCGATCTGTGGGCTCGTTTGCAGCCTTATTTCATAACAAAAAATAATGCTTAGGTAAAAGCAAACAAATAAATTGAAAACAATGTTCTTTATTAATTAATCTATAACAACATTGCCTCTCACATTATATTAGTCACGGATCAAGAGCGTATATAAAAATATATAATATGTATACAATCGTTACATATATATCACATTGTATGTCTATATAAAACTACATACAAGTTGCTAAACTGCTAAACAAGGACGATGAAAAAAGAAGGTATTTATAGCCTCTTCAAACAACGACTGTGGTACTTGGCTATATTATACTGACACGCAGAACATGCACACATTGACACGAAGGACATCTGCAGTTGTAGCCAAATGCCATTTAGCGCTTGTCTACATGTATAATAGAAAACCAAATTATATGGAATTGACGTAAATTTTGACACTTGTCAGTGTCAGTGGCGTTTGACTAAAGGCACTGGGCCTTTAGCCAAACGCCACTTTAGCGCTTGTCTACAGAGAGAGTAGAAATCAAAATGTATGGGGATGACACTGGCAAGTGTCAAAATATACGTCAATTCCATATAATTTAGTTTTCTATTCTACATGTAGATAAGCGCTAAATGGCATTTGCCTACAGCTGCTGTCGCGTGACATGGCCCGTCATCATACTTCATACATTACGGTGTTGCAAGCACGCACACATAAATACACCACTGACATTTTGGTGCTTCAGCCATAGGTTAGTGACGTTACCTCCGCCATTTTCAACGTCCTTGTTGCTAAAGAGATTATTTAAGTCTATTCATAGTCATAGAAAATAGTTACTTTATGGTATCCCTTTCTCTAAGCATTAAATGAAAGATATTTTACAATATAAAAGTGCATATAACAAAATTTTAATAATCATGTGCCGATTCTAAACAAATAAATGTTAAATAATAACTAAATTTTAATCTCGTTTCTATATTGTAGGAAGTCCTTCCAAAAATAATTTTACATCGACAAAATTGCTATTATGGCAGAAATTATAATATATCGAATTAAACATACATTCTCTCAAATGACAATATATAAACACTTTTGTAGCATATAAATAATTTGTACGCTTAATTAAAAATATATTTTTTCGGGAACAGATATTGCATTGCGTTCAAAAATGACGTGGAACACTAAAAATATTCCCAAACTTTATAAAAAATACATCAAAAATATTATTTTGTACTTAAAACTAAATATTGCAATGTAAAAGTTAACAACGAATTGAATTCTTAATTTGAACTTAATTTTATAATGGTAAAACTGGATTTCCTGTGACCATAACAATTATAAGTCTGAGGCGCTGGTGTAGCATTAGATCTATGGACCAATAGAATACTTGATATTAGCACCATATTATTTGCATATCATTGGTTAATACATTTTTGACAGCTAAGCTGATTGGTTTGAATATAAGATCTTGCGCTTCACAAGTTCCAATTAGGAAACTTAGAATTGAGAGATTTGTGTCTATTAAATCGAAATTTGTGATCGTCATATTACTTCTTAAGCACCAGTTATCAACATTAATATATTACACACAGGAAATCTAGCTAAAATGTTTGGTAAAAAACAATATGCAAATAAATAAATAAATACATTTCACCCTTTATTGTTTAAATGGAATTTATTCGACACCATTTTAAGACTTGATGTTACATTTTACATTCCATGCAACATTTTATCAACGACTTACAAGTTTTTTAAAGTGAAAATAAGCAAAAGCTAACTGTAATATTATATATTACTTCAATAGCTTATACCACTATAGTGTGTTGTTTCATAGGAACATGATTTCATTTATTCGTTTTTCATTTTCTAATGCAGGTTATAGGTACAGAGGCACCTTACGATTTCAAAGTGTGTAACGTGCATAAAAATGATGCTATTTTTTAGTCACTCTTTAGACAAATGACCTTTTTTTTAAGGGGGGATAATCATCGAATGACTGCTCCCGCCTGGGTGAGTCGGGAGGGAGTGTCAGACTCTTACTGACTAAAAACCACCCCGTTCCTTCTCCTGCACGTCGAGCCGGAGCCCCGGTTACCCGTTAGGTTCTCTGCGACCGTTAGATTCTCCGCGACTAGCCAAATGACATAAGCGCTTGTCGACTCGAAGTGACCGAAAAGTCAATAAGATTTGACATTATCTACATGTGCTATGCTAATGTCAATTTCATACATCGATTTGTCTATTCTTGACGTCATTCTTTTTATTGCATGTAATGTATATTAGCTTTTTATGTAGGTACTTCATATATGAGAGAATTAACATGAATTTGGTGAATATTTGTAAAATATAATAAACCAGTCAGTAAGTTGTACTATTTAATGGGACCTTGGTCAGAAAGTATTTATATAGGTACTATAAATTTATCTACATATATTCCGATATATCGATGGGGAAATTCGATCAAATGCCAATTTATAGGATTAGAGATTAGACAAGTGGATATTGTGAAGATTATACTGAAATGTCATTATACGGCCACAGATAAGATAGGGACTCAATGTGATGTGGTAATCCAACCTCTGTAGTTACAACCTATTTGGAGTTAAAAAATAAAATTTACCGCACAATTTCACTAAAAGTGGCCAGTAAGTTAAAGAGATTGATAGTTGGTGGGTTCGTTTACTCGTCTAATAATTTACTTCTGATTTATTTCGTTACGCAAGGCGTGTCGACAGGGTAAAAAAATCAAAAAAGTAATTAGTCCGTCATTAAGATCGCACGAAAATATCAGACACGTATTTTTTGTTTTATCAAATTAACAGAAGAAAACGTAGTTATTCCGCATTAAAGTTAGGGAGTGGGGGGTGTTGACGTCACACTTACGGAGAAATCGTACCTAAGTGTGCCGTCACGCGTCATTTTAACTCAAAATATCTACATGTTTTTTTGGAAACGAGAAAAAAGAAAAAATACGTATCGAAGATTTTTAAAATATCTAAAAGACGGACAAAAAATTAAAAAATAGTCGCCATGCCTATTATTCATGTCCCTGGGACGCACCGAACTCAATGTTTCGGTGTTTTCATAGTTTTATACCTGGGTGCACAGGAGTTGCAGCGGTTTTGGGATGTTGTGGCGGGCTTATCCCATATAAAAAAGTTAAGATATATCTACGAACTTATTGTCATGTTCAGGTGATCATTTCGAAAAGAATCTTTCTCTATATGAATTTTGAATTCTAGACTTTGTAGTTATTGATTGTTGAGAAGTGAATAACATGTTTACGTTACATAAACAGATCGGTCCCAATGTGAAGAGACGTTGAATCACGAACGCGTATGACATTTAATTTGATACTCACGTTTGAAGTGTACAATAAGCGACAAAAATATCAGTAGTATACGCCGTAAAATTTATTTCGTTTACGATATTTGAGCACGACTTACAATTGAGTAACGTTTCAGTATTCCGGCAATAGTCAATTGTTTCCATAATTCCTATTAATGTGCGTTTAAGATGTAAATAAATGCTTCAACTTTAATCTTTAACAAAGGTTGCCTTTTTTTTAGGGGGAAAATCATCGAATGACTGCTCCCGCCTGGGTGAGGCGGGAGGGAGTGTCAGACTCTTACTGACTAAAAACCGCCCCGTTCCTTCTCCTGCACGTCGAGCCGGAGCCCCGGTAACCCGTTAGGTTCTCCGCGACTAACAAAGGTTGTCCAGTGACATAACTTTGACACTGACTGTACAAAACTGTGACGTCAGTATTTGTGATATTACGCAAAAGAAACAACTTATCAATACAAGTTATTAACACATTGATAGTAACGAATCCATTTACTTTATCAGCCGGTTACAATAAACAAACATTTTAACATAATATCACAAACTTCTGTCAGTTATGTTATAAATGACATGTAATAAGGGGACGACTTTATTGTCATTATACCGGCCACAATCAAATTTCGCAAAATCATGTAATTTTTGAGTCAAGGGTTTGGAACCCGTGACTTTTTGCTCAGTAGTGCCCCTGGGCATAATTCAATCAACAAGACAGAAGAAAATAAATATCTGTAGAAAAAAACATATTAAATATTTGAACCTGAGGCCATAGTACAAGTTAGATTTAAGTTTAAAGTATTCTAAACGAGTACGCGTTCGGCACTCTGATTGGCCGGCGCCAATGAACCAACCAATCAGAGCGCCGACCGCGTACTCTTTACGATTACATACTTTAAACGTAAAACAAACTCGAATTAAGGACTCTGATCTATTCGATTTCAAATCGAATGCGATAATCGATTGCTCTTATAAATAATCGAAAACTTAAATCGAGTATTGATGTCGAAAATATTTTATAACAAAAATATCATGATTTAACATCGTCACGTCTGCTCGTTACACGTTAGACAACAATCAACCTTATTATAATGGTATAAAGGAGATTATTCAATAACAGTTACTGCGGTCGAGTATAAAATGTAAGCATTTACAATTGGATTCTCAAACGGTACTACATATTAAACAAAAAAAAAAAACAAAATAAAAATAAACTTTGTAGAAAATCGTTTCATATTCACTGGATATCTCATAAAACCTACTTAGAATTTGAGAAATTAAGAATAGTTATGATAATAATATTTCCCGAAGTTGAAATTCCTTCTGTAATGTATAATTTTGAAGTCCAATTTCTCACGATGCCATACAAAACTATGCAAATTACATAGTTAAGGCGAAGGCGTAGGACTAATGAATAACCAAAGTGGCATAAAAAGAAGGTCACATCAAATATGTACTTCAACTTTTCGGGGACATATATTGTACAGTGACAACCTACCCCAATATACAAAACTTTCATTTGATATTCAACCTTATTACAGAACAATTAAGTTGAAAACAGAAAGAAACAGAGCGTAAGTTGACCTGCTGCCGTCTGTATACGGGAGGCGAAATCATAACTCACCTTTTTGCTTCAGTCGAGAAACAAAAAGGTATATATTTTTTAAACCCTTTAAAAAATAGACTAGTGTCTGTGATATTTAGTATCCGTAATACCTAATACCATTTGAGTATCCATCTGTTAGGTAAGCACTCAGCGTGTCCACTATCCCTTGCTTAATTCTCTGATAACAGATATCAGAGCAAACATTTACATACACTTAGAGCAAATGCTCTTATTACAATATATATATTTACAGCATATACAGTATATGCATAGTATATACAATGATTGTTAAACATAATTATATATAAAATGAAAAAACTATGCAATGGACATGACATAATTCTTTGTTGATTTTCGCATCATTTATTGGCGTATAATATCAGAATTTTGTCTTTGGTAACTCAATTTCATTTGGGTAGCGTACTGTAACTTTAGATTTTAAAAGTTGTGATACAATTGTTCTAATACAAGATGTTGTTTTAAAGCCGTGTCATTTTCTAGGAGGTAACTCGGCTATCGATTCTGAGTCCGAATCAATAAAAAAAATTGTAGGTAAATATATTTCATTTTTTGTAAATTACGGAAATCCGTAAGTGCGAACTACACGGCGTCTTGTAACTAGCTTTATAATACGGCTTAACACACACAAACTCAATCACGTAATTGATATTATTCCGAATTCCATAAAACTCCAATAAGAAACATTGCTGTCGCTTATTCTGAAATACTGTCGAACTTAAACGATTTATTATAGCCGTATTTTTAACTATTGGCCCGAAACTTTCTCTTACATTGAACCTTTATGACTTCTGTGACATGCCCCCGAGAGATGACACGGCTTTAAAACTACATCTTGTATATCGATGGAATTACCTAAACGATAAAGTCCACACGCAACAACATTGCATGACAAATACAATGGATCACTAGGTGCAAGCAAATATTATGTGGTATGTGGTGGTCAGGCGGATCTGCCCCCTATTGTACACATTTTAACACGATTATATTATCACTACAACTCTAGTACCTAGGTAACTTTAAATACCGAAAGTCACAGTACTTTCCTAAATGAAATAGAGCACAGACAATTGGGTAGTTTCCAGGATATCAAAATTAAAAATCTAATTAGTCCGTCAGTTAGATAGTGAAAAAATATTAGACACGTATTTTTTTTTCTCGTATTAAGTTGCAATACTTAGATAAAACGGCGTTAGTTTTAGGTGTGGGAGGTTGTTACGTCATAACGTGCTACAAAACGCTGTGACGTCACACGATATTTCAAATTAATATCGTCGAAAGTATTTAATTTTATGACAAAAGAAAAAATACGTGTCTAAAGTTTTAAATGAATCTACCACAAGGACATTAAAATAAAAATTAGGAAACTACCCTTTTATGATATATCACAAAAATACCAGATTATAATTATAATATACGCAAAGTATCAGATTATACGCTTACCTTATAATGCTTGCTGTTTTTCTTAATCTAAATTATACTTATGTCATCCTGAAGTATGCTGCGTTGAATTGTTCAAGGAATATGAATGTGAGTACTGTGTGAGGGCCGAGACGCGCGTAGTATGGTAGGAATCCCTTCCAGAGGGATAGCACGCCTTCGTTCTTGAGGAGGGAGGTCACTACTCCTAGCTGGCTTTGGCCTTTAGCCGCGTTTTGTATCCTGGAAAATTTAAATGTGATTTTAGTTTTTGGTATTATCGTATGAAATACTGAAGTAATATAACATTGCACCTAGTACTTAGTAGTCCCCGGATAAGTATGAAAATGTGGACTTGTACAATGTGGCAGCACTCACTCTTCACACTCACAGTTATGTTATGTGTCCCATGAAATAGGGGGTAAGTACATTTTCGTACAACAGATTTTATACAGACTACTAACTCGTTGGTCGAGTGGTCGCAAGTGCGACTGCAGGTAAAGAGTCTCGGGTTCGAATCCTGGGTCGGGCAAAGTACTACCGGGTTTTTAAATAAAATCTCAGTAGTAGTACGGAGTCTGGAATTCTACCTTAATTGGGACTCATAACGTAAATAGTGAAAAGTGGGTGTTACATTGTACAGTCTCACTGCTTACTCCTTCGAGGATAAAAGGCGTGATGAACGATTAAACATACATTGTATAATTGAGTAGAGATATAAAAAAACATGACTAAAAATGAAGTGTGGGAGAGCCATGCTTCGGCACGAATGGGCCGGCTCGACCGGAGTGATACCACGGCGTCACAGAAAACAGACGTGAAGCAACGCTTGTGTTATGTTTCGTCGTGTGAGTGAGGTTACCGGAGGCCCAATTACCCTCCCCTTCCCCAATCTCCCCAATCTCTGAATCCCCAACGATCCTCAAACTCCTAATTCCCAAAAGGCCGGTAACGCACTTGTAACGCCCCTGGTGTTCCAGGTATCCATGGGCGACGCCGATTGTTTACCATCAGGTGATCCGTCCGCTCGTTTACCGGCTTATGCCATAAAAAAATATATAAAGTTAGTCTGGGTAAAATTAGACTCACATAACATGCACTCATTTTTTTAGTCTTTCAATAAAGGTCCCAAAGCTCGGGAAGAACTAATCTATTTAATTATTTAACACCTGTATCTGACACGTACCACAATAAAGATTTTGAATTCAATTGAGTTTTAAACTAACGGTCAAGGGATACAATTTAAGACCTTATGACAACAAAAGAGACCCATTAGAGAGATAAAAATATCGCATTTATATTATGACATGACGAAATAAACCATTCATAGAACACGTCAGTTTCATCATTCAACCTAAATATATATATTTGTTTGTGTGAAGGTATGTCTGATACCGCTCTCGTCAGATCCCGACTGTTTATACCTCTGACGTAAGCAGCGTGAAGGTTATTAAATTAAACTCGTGGCGTCACAGTTACACGACATTGACCCGTTTGGAAATAAAACTTTTATTTTAATTTTTAGTGGAGAGATTATGTAAATTGTTTAATGTACTGTTGTTACTTCTAAAATATGACTAGACCTTTGTTGAATTGCGAACGAGAGGCGAGTGAAGTATCATTGTTTGTCGATGTCGAAATATTAACTGCGGCAATTTAATAGCGCCTTGGACTAGGATGTTATATTGCGAAAAGTATATAAATAAATCGAAACACCGTAAACGGCTTTGCAGTTGTAGCCAAATGCCATTTAGCGCTTGTCAGGTAGAATAGAAAACCAAATTATATGGAATTGATGTAAATTTTGACACTTGTCAGTGTCATCCCCATACATTTAGTTTTCTACTCTCTCTGTAGACAAGCGCAAAAGTGGCGTTTGGCTAAAGGCACTGGTTAGTCTTAGCATAAAGACTAACCAGTGTTTGCTGTATTCAATCGTTGGTATTCAAACCAATCGTACATTTTTCAAAAAACTGCACATTCTTCCAGCGGTGAACCGAGCACTACTCTAAACCAAAACATACACTCGCGAACTCCAGCCATTTTTCTTGGGATACGTAGAAACATCATAAGCCATCTTCGTACTAGAATCCTTGTTTAAAGAGGTGTTTTGCTTCCTCAACATTTCAACTCGAAACCTTTTATTTGATAGTGATGCTTAGTCTAATCTTGCCAGTGAAAATTAGACCAAAACCTGGGAAAATGAACCAATAATAAAGATCTTACCTCGTCTTGATGATGTCCACAGGCATTGAAGCGATGGTGGTGATGAGACCAGACACCATGGATGCGCAGAAATGTAGCGTGATACCGTCAGGTACGTAGCCAACGAACATCTCACGCGCCTGGTGGAAGCAATCGAAATATTTGTATGTGCAAAACTCTTGAACGACTGCACTAAATTGGATAAGTTTTATTTTGTAAAATATAGAAGAGAAAATACAAGAACAGTGTCCGAATTCGAGGTGGACCGCTAGTATTCTACATAATAAAGCATTCACAAGACTATTCTTTGATTGGTACTTGCTTTGATCTAATCTGGTGTTGCAAGTGTTCATGGACAGTGCTGATTGTTTACCATTAGGACTTCTAGTCTCTAGTACAAGCAAAAAGCCTCTAGTACCTTGAGATAAAGGCCACATAGAGGAAAGTTACCTGTGAGTATGTGCTGAGCTGAGCTGCGTTGACCACCATGGCTCGTCCGACAGTGGGTGTGGCGCCTCGCCATAGCTTGAGAACACCTTCTTCTCTTACTATCCTGTGGGTAACCATGCCATTAATATGACGGACGAGTAACCATGGAGTTTCTTGCTCGTTCTTCTCTGTATAGACTTTGGAATGAGAGAATACATTTCACTAGGGGACTGCTAAACCGATTTGTTTTTAGGAGATCTGTCGGCTCCCAGGTGGAAGGTGACTTCATAGGTACTGTTACAATATAGTCCTGTAGTGTATAATTAATACCAAAATCGAATACCCCAGTAATAGGGTAGAAGACTAATTTTTATTTTAATGTCCGTCTGGTAGATTATTTTAAAACATTAGACACGTATTTTTTATTTTTTTACAGAAACGAATACTTTCCACGATATATTGAATAGAAATGTCGCGTGACGTCACTTCTATGTACATTTTATACGTAGAAATGACGTTTAAGCCCCCACTCCTAAAGTTTGATTCGTCATATCTAAGTATCATATTATTATACAACAAAATAAAAAATACGTGTCTAATATTTTTTCATTACCTAACTGATGGACTAATTAGATTTTTAATGTTCATGTATACAAGTCAATATGGTTTCATCATAATCTGTTCAGTATTACAGCATGACAGAATTGACATTTAGAAGGCCACTGGAGATAAGGTGTAACAAGACTGACAATTATCTCTATCTTTATATAAATAAGATATTAGGTATGCACAGACAATATCATAGTTATTTTTAACCGACTATATGTATGTTTGTGACTAGCTACTTCCGCGCGGTTTCACACGCTCTGCTCAGCTCCTATTGGTCGTAGCGTGATGCTTTATAGCCTATAGCCATCCTCGATAAGTTCAGTATCTAACACAAAAAGAATTGTTCAAATCAGACTTATAGTTACGGAGATTAGCGCGTTTAAACAAACAAACAAAAAAAAAACACGATAATATAATATATAATATAATATAAGATTATCTCGCGATTAAAGTCGCGATTAAGCGGCTATCGCGGTTAAAGCGGTTTTGATGTGGTTTTCAAAAAGTGTTTGTTACAGTATGGAGAAGGTTTTGATTATAGATACTAATTTACTGACTTCATAAAAGGGGAGGTTGAAGTTGGTTTTTTTAAACGTACCTAGATTATGAAAGTGTTACTGTAATACGTAATCATATTTTTTGTACATCAATCTTATTGACAGTTAAAAGCTAGTTTCTAAATATTTTTGTGCAGTGTAATATGTACTTTTTACAGAACGTTGTTGTCCTTTTTCACTACTTGAGAATTTGGACTGCAGATCACTAGTGATTATATAGATTATAATAATTATCGTGACACATACTAAATTAACTAAAAATCGCGTGTTACTCACGTGAATATACTGAGATAAGCTCTACTAGTTTCGAGCCACAGAGAGGCTCTTCCAGTATATTCACGTGAGTACCCCGCGATTTTATATTAAAAGGTTGTCTTTTTTTGCAATAATCTTTATTTTTGCCGGTCCAATTTCGTCCGCAGCGCCATCTATGGAACAAGATAAAACTCACCTGATGAGGGCATCGGCGACATTTTTGTAGTTTCTTCGCTGTTCTACGGGGAGTCTACCATCAGCTGTCATACGAATGAGAGCCACCTCAGCAGGAGTACCAACGAATGCTCCAACTGAACCAGCTGCTACTCCGAGCAGGGTCTTGGTGCCGAAACCTGGTGCTGCACCGTTTTTCCTGTAAATATACAAGATATTATTATAAAGGTCCCAGAGATCAAATGATGGAAAGTACTCAGTATCGTCCGTGGACAGTCAACACTTTACACACAAGAAAATTTACATATACGTTGCCTGCTGAATGGTGAAAAAAACATTCATAAAGGTCAACAAAGGTGGTTTTAAAAGGATTTTCTTATCCTATCAGCACAGCCACAGATGTTGCAGTTTACATTATCAAAAAATGCAGATAAGCATATCTGGCATGCACATTGGTCGAAGAAAGTGAAGTTTACTGATATGCCGATACGATAATAAACCGAAGACATATTCCCATAAACACGGAATTAGTGAACTTATACAATTGGTAAAGGATCAGATAAAATATCAATGAGACCGCAAAAACCTTTTTTTTAAAGAGACGATTTTTATTAAGGCGGGAAAATCATCGGGAGTGTCAGACTCTTACTGACTAAAAACGGGTGGTCTTTAGTCAGTAAGAGTTCCTACCCCTGCACTTCGAGCCGTAGCCTCGGTATCCCGTTAAATACTCTGCGGGTCCGTATCGAAAACAGTGGAGTTTCTATCTCATTCTTCTCCACTCGAAACTACACTTGGGAACGAGCGCTAAACTTCAAATAAAGATAGACGGACGGACAATTAAATTTTGACGTTACAAAAGTGCCTAATTAACGTTTAATTGAAATAAATGATTTCAATTGCTTTTTTTTAAACGTTGCCCCACACTTGATTTTTCTCCTGTGTCGTTGGTGTATTTAAAAACATACAAGTTCACATACACAACACCCACACCCGGAACAACAATCTGTGGATGTGGACACAAAGAGTTGTGTAAGTCGCCCAGCCACCGCGCCAACCGTGCAGTCAAACTTAATGAATCATTGTACGGAGTAAGCCTTACCTTAAGCTACCTGACCCGAACCAATTTCTGGGATAGATATTCATCTATATCGTAAAGTGATAAGGTTAAAAATCTATTAAAGGGATTTGACTGATTGCACTATCTACTATGTAGTGCAGTGCCGATAGTTTCCTTACGTAAGTTCTATGAACCTAGTACTTATATGCAATAGCCTAGATATCTAGACAGCGCATGTTAACGACTTCGTTTGAAAACGTGCCAATTTTCCACGAATTTCGATGACGTCATAGTTCAAGTTCATGGCAAGAACAACCCTCATGTTTATATCGATGTTTCGCTGCACGTAATGTGATAATAATGTTTTAACTTGCAATCAACGAAAACAAATGAGGAATTTGTGAAATATTAGGATAGAATAAAATAAAACTAGAAGACTGATTTTTAGTAAAAACTTCATTTTATGCAGTTATATGAAGGGAAAATTACGAGGTGGTAGAACTGGCAGACTATATGTCCCTTAAACCAAGAGCAAAAGGGAATCGAAAACAACGTAAACCATCGCCCTTGATACCGCTGGGCTGACTAAAATATAAATATCATTTTAAGTATTTTTAAAACAGACAGATACAGATCGGTTCATCCATCAAAATAGTGACGCGATAGTAGCTACCGCTATGTCACGATAGATGGTATGGAAAATAGGAAATATGTGACTATTTTTTGCCGAACTTTTTAAAAATCAGGTGAGCAAAGAATTCCAATACTGACGTAGATGCACGTGCTTCGTACGATGACTGAAGGTGACATTTGTTTTGCATTTTACACTATTCACGATGATTTAGAGCGTTTCATAATTTTCGATGGTGAAAAATTGATTCAATTATGTGTGAAAACAGGTATTGTATACATAGACGGATAGTTGTCTATTCTTCTTGCCCTTGTGTCTTGTTAGGGGTCGATGCTATATATGGTGTTCTTTTAATGGTTAGACAAATAATGAGAACTAAGATTTGTATCAGCTTCAGCCGTGAACCGAGACCTCGCCATACATAAAGTTTTTCTTCCATATCACTTTGCATTCATTAATCGTTACATTTGCATTGTATAATAATGTATTGTTCAGTGTTCAGTTGTTGACTTTTAACATCAGGTTCTAAGAAAAGTACTATTGAACATTTTAGAACCGCTTTTTTTGTGGGGAGAAAATCATCCAATGACTTCTCCCACCTTGGGTTAAGCGAGAGGAAGTGTCAGAATCTTACTGAGTAAAAACCACCCCGTTCCTGCTCCTGCTCTTAGAGCTGGAGGCCCGGTAACCCGTTAGGCCTTAAGCGGCTCCGTATCGGGCATCAGCTCTACTGGGCCCTATCTCTGGTGGTCTGATACCTCTTAGTTCTTGGATGGTGCGTAAGGCGTGCGCGGAACGCGACGCGGCTTACACACGGGTCTGGTTCTAGTCGGGCGGCGAGCTACCCTTGCTCGCCGTCCGCAGACCCGCACTTACGGTGGTCGGATATCGTGGCACGATCTCCGACGCCCGGAGTGATTTCAAAACCGTTTGTGATTATAAATCCCTTTTTTTTGTAAGTACCTAACTACCTACATACATACTTTGTAATTAATTTGATTCAGACTTAGAACTTGGAATAAAACTTCGTTAGCTGCTTATGACTATTTAACGAAAAGTGGAATGCAGTAGCTAGGTCAATCGTAATAAAAAATAATACGCGAATTTCTGCCAACAAGCAACTGGCTGCAATGCGCAAAAATTGTGTGCATTTTCACGTTGCCACTTACTAACGAGGTACGATATGATGTATGTTTGTAGAACTGAAATAAAACATTTTAAGAGTATGTTGTTCTGTAAAATGGAAAACAGTTCTAAGAATCCCTACTTTTTCGTAAGAGTCGTAAGATCTGATTAAACACTTGATAGTGACCGTCTTTTTTTTAAGGGGGTAAAATCATCGAATGACTGCTCCCGCCTGGGTGAGGCGGGAGGGAGTGTCAGACTCTTACTGACTAAAAACCACCCCGTTCCT